GGTGCTCACAATATGTCTAATATAATCCAGGCAATATAAAAGTCCTTTGTACTATACATATTGTTTACAAAATGAAAATTCAGAGCAAGTTTTGTATCTGACTTTATTTATGATAAGGAAGAGCTGTATGGTAGCCATTCTCTATGAAACATATGCAAGATTTTAATATTGGTAGAAATGTAAATAAAAATAATTCATTTTCCACTGGGAAAAATCATATCGGAGACTTGATCTGTAGTGAGAAAAATTGGAGCAATGGGAATTGCTAGGATTCGTCTAACTTTACAGTTTATATAGTTATTGCTAAATGTATGGTTCATAATAACTCTTGTGAAGTCTCTTTATGAGGAAGAGAAATACATACACAGCTGTTAGCAATGTCTCAGCAGATACAGTTAAGTGCAGCCAAGGATTTTTAGTTTTGACTCAGAATACTTTTGTGGGAGGAACTGAAAATATAGAAGCATGTTGTGGGTGTAAACAAAAAAGGTCCTATTTATCACAGAATATTTGCATAATAGTTACATTTCAAAGCTAAATAATGAACACAGAAGTGAAAGGTTTCACACCATGGAATTCAATGCTAAAATATTTCAGGATTCCATGTTGTGGGAGGCCATTAAACATTGCAAGATAAAGAACAGTTGGCTTCACACCCACCTAGTAGATTTTTAAGAAATCCAATATCTTCTTAAATCTTTCCAAAATGGTACCAACTGCCAATGGCTGCAACCCTTCTCAGCAGCTGTGTCCCAAAAATACTGTTCTTGAAAGGGTTCTATAAGTCTGTTCCAAGGCTGGCAGTTTCTCATGATAAACTAGTTTAGTCTCCTGGGCATTTAGCATGGTTTAAACTGGGGAAATTATTTATTTATTTATTCAATTTATCCCCGCACTCCCCGCCAAAGCAGGCTCAGGGCGGCTTACATAAAAATTAAGACAGATAAAAACAGTGCATATATAAAACCAGTCATAAAGTGCTAGTGTACAATATTATATGATGATGGCTAATGAAAGTTTTAGACAGGGGTCTTTTTGTAGAAAAAGAGCTGCAGGAGCTCATTAGCATATGGTATGCTAATGAGCTATTAGGTTATTAGCAAAATAGCTCATTAGCATTTGCAACGCCCCCTGACATCACTGGAAGTGATGTCAGAAGGGAAGCAAAAGGGGGGGGAAGGCATCTTCAAAAGCCTCCCCTTCCCTTCCCTGGGGGG